CAGGCACTCCACGAACAACGATATATCGTACGAACGGCGACGCAGTGACGACGGTGCAAAACACGCCCGGCGGTACAACACACGATGGTGATATTAAAACTCCGCAAAAATGTACGGCGGCCAGAGTACGAAACGCACAAGACAAAGCGCACAACGACACCGCAAAATCACGTGGAAGGTAGAAAAACGGCGTGAATCAACAAAGGCGCAGCAGCGTGAACGAAACAAAATAAAACAGCACGCACGTCACGATTGATCGGCGATGTGCCGGCGTCGGAGGCGAACATACGACGACGACTGCCGGGGGTCCGTAAAAAGAACATAGACGGTGACGACGTCGGGGCTCGCTGTCGGTCGCGGTTATCGCGGGGAAAACCGCAGATAAGGTCGACAATATTATATTTGGACAACCAGCTCGAACAATGTCAGTTCTGACGTCTGTGCAAAGACGATGGAAATATGACATCACATTACATGGGTTTAATATGCCTTCGTCTTCCTCTATCGTTTATCCAGGTCACATTTACGTTATCAGAATTTGAAAACGTTTTGGAGCACACGACGTCGGCATTCGCCTGCCAGTGTATTGGATCCAGAAGATTGTGACGACGGGGCTATAGATCTCGGTCCGAAAGTTATGACATTACGATTACGCCGAACGTTTATCACGTTGCACGTTTCCATTTTCGAACAACTACCCGAGCAGTTGGATATGACATCGTCAATCGGCGGCGGCGAGGCGAAAAGCGTCGTCCGCTGTCGCGCGTTGTTTATCGGAATATAATGGTCTACGTTTCATCGTGCAGTCAGTCACGCGTTAAAACGACCAAAAGTACGTGTTAAACGCTGAATGAGGAAAAAAAAAAATTTAAAAAATAAAAATAAAACACCCCGTTCCTGTCGTTTGCTTTCATTTTTGTTTGTTCATTTTTACTAATTACGATTCGTGCAATAGGTGACCGCGGTGTGGTTCGCACGCGTATAATACGAATAAGTACCCGCGGCACTAATGATTTTGAATTGCAGTTAGCAGTGGCGTTGAGGTGTACAACGAAGGAAGTGCCGCGGATTTCGCGGTCGGTACTGTAAATGATTACTATATGAATTAAGTGTTCCGGGGTGGGAAGGGGGGAACAAAAAAGTTCGAACAGTTTGGTAAAACACGTTGTGCACAGCGATTTGAACTTTATAGTTACGAATTCTTATTTTTTTTTTTGCCCGTGGTAATACGAGGTGACTCGAATCGACACTTGTGTGGCAGTGAAATTCAACTATATAACTATTGGCGTTTGTTATTCCATGAGATTGATTTTAAAAGTAATAAAATAAAACGATAATTAGTGAATTGTTAACACTCATCAATAAGTATATACTCAAATAATATAAAATAGTATTTAACAAAATATAGTATTAACTTTGTATATACTCGATGATATGATTTTAATTCGAAACCAGTCGTAAAATACACATAAGAGTATATATGTTCCAGGCTACTCGTTTATTTATTTATATCCATAAACTATTTAATTATATTTTAGTTTTAAAAATTTTAATCCGCACTGTAAACGATGTGTAATCCTTAATAGTTTACACGCTGGTTGATGTCGTATTTTCATATTAGAAATTCCAATCGCCAGTTGTGCATCGTGTCTTGCGTAAAAACCTCATACGTAAATTACCAAGTGACTTACATCACAATCGAAGTACTATATTTACGTGGCAAAATGTTAACCATGCAAATATTGCACACACTTCATCACACCGTACTTTGTTGATTTCGATACTAACGAGTGGTATTGTTTAAATTATTTCGCCAAGAACAATAATTTTATGATGGACAATTCAAAAACATTATTGATTGAAAATTAACGTGTGATCGAGTGATGTAAAGTGCTTAAAATTATGCAAGTTTGCATATGTAAAACTAAAAGAGGAAACTGGAAAAATCGAAAAGTAGTATTCAAATGTCACAAGTTAAAGGGTTTTTAGAAATTTTTCGGTCAGTTCATTAAATCGACCGACATGTCGTAATTAATTTTACGATTTCCTCCGGGGTCCTGTGATATTTTGTGACGAAAATGTAAAACTTTATGTTTTAAATTATCATCGAAAATGTTGACTATATTGCTGTGTAATGGTTTTTCGACAAAATCAGAAACAATAACTCTAATTAGTTAATATAATTGACCCGTATGAACGACACACGATAATCGCTGCAGTCAATCACGTCCAAAAAGGCCAACAACCTCCGAAGGATACGCGCATTCCGTCTTTAGTCTAGCAACAAGCGGTTTGGACGAGCCTGCGTATACCTCGAATGCGAGACTGATTTCGGACTGCCCACTAACCTAACCGTAAAGCTTCGTCGAATCCGACCTCAGTTGACTTTGGCGCGGAAGGTCAGCACGCGGAATGACCTGGACCACCTGACGTACCGTCCATGTTATTAAGCGTGGTCGGTGCGACATGCCTCGATGGACATACCCCATCGCCTACCGTGTTGGTTCGGGACTGGATCCACCACCATCACCACTCGGGCATTAACCGTATTCGGCCACGAGATAGGGTGACAATCCGAGACTCACATGAGATCGCCCGGGACTCAGATAACGGAGACGCATACCCAAGACCGAGACCTCGAAGCTACCAGACCCACTATAGGATTCGGAGCAAATGCTGATTGCCGGAAGGTCCCGGCAGCCCTGAGCACAGTCATCATTTTACATTTAACTATACACATTGATGGAAGTTTCGTGAAATATTTTAACGCAAGCCCGCTGTCCGGGGAGACGTATTATTTCGCCTCTCTCCCTCGCCGCTAATGGATTGTTTAAATACCGCTATCCACAACCTGCGGGACCCGTTCTGGTCACGTGAACCGGACACAATAATATCCGCGATCGAACCGTTACACGATCGTGTTTCAATAATATATTTATTCTTACTGGACGGGAAAACGCTCTGCACCTTATACGGTCAGCAGCTGCGGCGACAAGGATATTTTACGGAATCGGTGAATATTCTTATGATAATAAAAATTGAACGGGTCGCGTATAAAATGTTATTTCACTTTAATATTATGTTATATTGTTACGCGCGAGGTATTAATATTTGGTCCAGTGTATTTCGTTTTTATGGCAACCGTTATCTAAGAAATATATTGTATAATATAAAAACGTACAAGCTGAAATAAATACGTTTAAAAACGTTACGCGTAACAAAAGTAGTGGATTACGGAGATTCGTTTCTTGTACAGGTTCTTCAAAAACTAGTAAAAAAAAAAAACTCAGAAATCAGTTTTACGGGTTATTATTATTGCTCGTATAAAGTATTATTATGTCAAAGTAACAAAAAAAAAATAAATAAATAAATAATAATAATCATAATATAATTTTCAATAATACAATAGTATTTACAATGGAAATTTCGTTCGATCGTATATTTCTATTGAATACCGCGATTAGTTGTACACATACATTATTACTGGTGTTTTTTTTTTTTAATTTTTTTTTCGTCGTTAAGTTTAATATAATATTTTATTATTTATTACATTTCACGTCGGAAACTGATCGACACACATGCAATTTCAATAAAATATTTATTACAATAACACAATCAAACCGACATCATCGTTCGGGAGGAGAAAACAACAATAAATTCGCGAATGAGAATATGTGACAAAAACGATCCGGAATCCCTATGTAATTATAATTGAATACATTAATATTGTTTTTCGTACACACATATCAAGGCGAGTTTCTATCGCACCACGCATTATATATCGAAGAAAAGCTCGTCTACATCGTTATGTACATATGCATATATATCTACATACATAATACGGTCGGTACCGTGATATTTAAAAAACCTAACCTACAATCAAACACACGGCAATTATCACAAAATCTTATAATGACTATGGCTAGCACATGTCAAATTCAGTTGTGACCATAATTAGCCGCACATTGAAAAGTCTAGTAAACCCGACCCCTGTGCTCGGTACCCCACTCTTAAAAACGAAAACAACAACAAAGCACAACTATTTAAGCAAACGCAGTGCAAGGCTATAAGTATTATTCACATTAAGAAGTATATTGATATTTCATTAATATATATAATAGATTAAACAATTTTTATTTTTATTCGTATGCCGTCAATAACATTGAAAATAACCCCAGTTAGTATATCGTCAAATGATCGTCAAATGTTGATAATAAAAACGACCTATTACATAATATATAAATCAAGAATATTCTTAATACTGAACATAAGTAAATATTCAGCGTAATATTCGGCTTTGCTTTTTATTTGAAAATTCTAGAGATGTTCTATCTTTCGAGTTTTAACGATTGAAAATTGTGGAAAATGCACAATTATATAAAATTGGAAATCTCAACAAATATGAACGGGATTGATATTAATTAACCGATCACGTGTAACAGCGGCTATTGCGGTAACATGATATACTGACAACTCGAACCAAGACTATTCCGTGTAATTCATTCCGACTTTATTGGTTTTGTATGGGATTCACTGCGAGTACGTGGTCAGCTCAACTGTGAAGAGTTTCATCAAGTCTCATCATCAGAAAGTGAGAGAATATTCTCTCAACATTACCATATTAGTATTATTTGTTCAATTATTTGGAAATCAATACACCAAAAAACCATAATTACGTATTCGTTTGTAAAGTATTGGTATTCGATCTAGGACGGTTAGCATATGCAAAAAAAGGAATAACGTTTTTGGATAAGTGGACTTATACCGGTGCCCCGCTCGAGAAACCGTTATATTTCCGCTTTTTTTGTTCGTAAAAAAAAATTCACACGAACATTATTTTAGCATAATAAACAATCGTTTCGAAGCTCAGCTCTCCAGTGTTAGTCGACTTTAAATAGCACCCGTTGTTCGAATTTCGAGACGTTTGAATGGACGGTCAAAGCTCGGGAATAATTGCGTGGTGATAGTTATGTAAAGGGAAAAAAGAAAAAAGAGAAAAATACGTACATAATATTATTATTTATACATACAATCGATTAGTTTTTACACCTAGTGATTCTTCTCAGTATATCCGTGCAAGTCCTGATCTTCATCACCACGTCTTGCTGCATCAGATTGAAACACATGGCAATCAGGGCCATGCCAAGCATCAGGTACATGGAGCACAGTATGAAACCGAGCTCAACGCTTTTTATGGAACTGGACCCGGTGCCACCCGGATCGGTCATGTTGCCGCCGGGTACGAAGTCACCGAACCCGATGGTGCTCAGTGATATGAAGCAGAAATACGATCCGTCGAAGAACTCCCAGTCTTCCCATTTGGAAAATAACACGGCACCTCCGGATACGTACCTATGGAGTAAATGAAATCCATATCAGTCACTGAGGTGCTAGAGAATGGTGCTCAGCAGCCGTTTTTTTGTTTGTGGTCATTCGTGGTAAAAAATCATTGTTATTTGTTGGCCATCGTAACTTAACGAGTAACCGATATACAAAAATAGTGACCAGAGTACTAAAATAATACTATTTCTTTACCAGAACTTTCAGTAATGCTTATATTATTAGCATGACAAATACAAAACGAAAAAAAAAAATGCTATTACTAAAAATTCTAACGAATTAGATATTTATAAAGTTATGTGTATGGAAATCAGCTTCGAGGACAAAGGTTGTTATAATAAGAATTATAATAGGATTAAAGATAGAATTTATATTGGCAGTATGATCAATAGGAATATTTATAGAGTTGAGATGGTTAAATACTACGTTTACCGGATATACATACAATCAAAGAGAATATGAAACAAGTCACAGACCATGTTCTCCTTATTATAGAGCATACAAAGAATAATAAATCATTAAGATTTAGTTTGTAAATATGGGCAGGTACAGTAGATGATGGCCATCACACAATCTTGGTTGTACTGGATGATGGATGTGGAAGAATGTTTTAAGGCCAAATAGTTAGCCGCATTTTTATTAATATATTATTAGGCACCTACTGAGAGATTCTTTCTAATTGTTTCTATTCCAACAGGCTGACCAGATAACAGCAGAAATGTGGTATCGCAGAATCAACGAAAAATCATACGCCATATAATTAAGGGAAATGAAAGATAAATATTTAATTTGTGCATTAACGCGAACGGTTAATATCACATCATGTTCATTGCCAACCGACTGATTCGGTCAATCGTTCACGGGGAGTACTGCGCTACGGCGGTATATTTTCTGAAATACCAAAAATTATTTTTGCGGTCGGCCTACTCAGAAAAATGATCGACTTCTGCTGCTGCTATTGTTATTTTACTCTAATAAACGGTAAACGTGAGTATCCTGTCGCCGCACAGTGGTCCAAAATTAATGTTTGGCGCATCAAAAAAAAAAAAAAATAGATCATGGTTACTTTTTTTTACGTCAATATTCTTCAAATACTTGTTTTGTTTTCACTATTCGGATCTACATCTGGGTGACATAATTTACTTATATTGTCTTCTGCTGATCTATGATTTATCATTCACGAATTCACATAGTCTTTGAGATCCCACTTTTCTAATGAAAACTTGTTAAATGAAAACAAATTTGAATTTTTCATAAAAAAAAAAAAAAAATAGAAAAATAATAATATATCCAATACCAAATCATCTCATAAATATAACCAAAAGTTTTACTATTTATATGTGCCAAATTATAAGCTATACGCTAGATACGGCTGTATACCCACGTATCATCAATTTCTCATAAGCTATAGGCCATGGATAAAAATAGCGTATTGGGTATATACCGTATACCCCCGTACACCTTCCAATACACCACTGGTTATAGATATTTAGTTTCATATATATACATATATCATACATTAACTCAGTAATCTTCAACCTTTATCGACCTGCGACCCACTTTTCTTATCAAACATTTTTCGGGACCCATGTAAATTTCGTTAGCCGTGAAAATCAAATAAAAAAAGTTACAATTGTTTGATGTACGCCATTTTAGAAATGTTTTTATGACTGAATAAATCAAAATTTATATTTTTTAGGTATTTAGGAAATATTTAATTTTTAATATAAGTAATGAAACAAAAAAAAATGTATGTAATGATACCGAAAAATGTATATGATTTGACACCTAAAAGAAATGAGTGTAATATTTGTCGTGGACTATTTTCACACAAAATACCTCCACCTCAGCTCAATTAACACAATGCAGTTTATAGATATATGAAATTTAAATAAGTTTTATAAATTAAGTTGGACTATCACTTAATTGGATTTTTCATTCTTTTTTTTCTTTTATTTGAAAATTGACGCTTCAACAGCAAATATTATTAGCTATTAGATGTTAAATATTTGATGTGGTAGGCGTTAGATTTAAAATTACAATATTTCATATTTTTTTCCCTTTATTTGAAACAAGCAATCTGTATTTTTGGGGTACAATAGGTTTATGTGACTAAAGTAAACATATAAATTAATTTTAATTCTTAATCGTTTCGAATTATAATTATAGTTAATTTAAAACAGGCTAGACTTGATGTGAGAAGTCATCCAGTAATGACACTCGTAATTTGACTTTTTTTTTTTTTTTTATATTAAACAATACTGTAGTGCATGTGCTCTGTTTACGGATTTCTGATGGGAGGAGATTGAAAAAATAGGTCACGACACCATTTCCTTTTTAGACGTCTGGGTGGATTACTAGGAATAGAAGGGACTGCGAGGTTCCGTATTAACGAGTTGCTGTTGGAGGCAAGTCGTTTGTGGAAGCGTTGATAGTGGGCTATAGCTTCTTCGTACACTAATTTGATTTTTAAGTCGGTATGGATAGTGTGGTTTGAGACGTAAGGGGGGGGGGACATTTAAAAGTTTTCTGAGAGCTATATTTTGAGAGGCTTGAATTTTATTTAAGTTGGATTTTTTTGCATTGCCCCATAACTGAATACCATAAGTCCAGATTGGTTTGATTAACGATTTATATATGAGCAGCTTTGTGTTAATAGAAGTATATTTCTTATTGTCAGTAAATGTTTTGAGTAGGCGTAATCGGGAGTTTAGATTTAGTCGTTTTAATTTTGTAATGATGAGCATCATTCGATTGTAAAAGACGGCACAAATATTTTATTATGTATACTATTTATATGTACGTGATTTTTAAAACCATTTCAAATAAATAAATAACGGTATCTTCGATACCCGCGCAAACAACACGGGACGAACAATAAATACTATTGACATCCCTAAATTCAAAGGACCGCCCAAGATCCATGCCACCACGTGTCCCTGTATAACAGGGACACACACTACCCTTCCCAAAGCTCTTGATCTTATGTCGTCAGTGCATGCGCACCGATCGTAAGATCAACGAAGCAACTCAGTTTTTTGGTCGTTTGTGCATGCGTACCAATCATAAAACTAACGAGAGAGCTTATATGCTTTATTTTGACTTATAATTTTAATCCGTTCGACTTGTGTTTTTCGTACAAGTGTTGAAGAGTATCCGGTTCCAGTGCAATTAAATTTTGCATTTGTCCTTTTTTTTTAACCTCGCATCGATATCTGAAGGTCTGCGGTAAAGTACTGCTTTATTTAGCTTGGCAGACTGTACAATTGCGCTGATCGGCTCTCGAACCTTCATAACCTCGAGAGCCCTCTCTTAAACAAGGAGGAAGGTAACAACCCTTTAATACATTAATACCTCACCGCCATTTACATATATACCACCATTTCCACCTTCTTATTTCACTTATTTTATTTTTTGTATTTTTGGGTTATTACAATTTGATATGTTGAGCCGAGGTTAATCTGCGATCTAGAGTAAGCCCAAGATATTTGACTGTTTGTGAGTTTGGAATAGGGATACCACAGATGGAGACAGCTGGGCAGGGTCTGAGTCTAAGTGTAAATATACAATGCACTGATTTTAATTGATTTATTTTTAATCGCCAATTTGTGTACTATACTTCCAAGTGAGAGAGGTGATTTTGAAGGTGGTGGGAAGCAATAACCGCGTCATGATTTATAGAGATTTATTATAGAAATTTATAGCCTTATCGTCAGCATAGTCAGCAACTAGTGTGTTGAGGTGGGTTGGTCAGAGATGTATATGTTATAAAATACAGGAGAAAGAATACCACCTCGAGGAACACCCGCCGAGATTTTGGCTATACTGAAAAGAGTTCCACCAAAACGAGTACTGAAAAATCTGTCAGAAAAATAAGATTTAATGATTAAGAAGTAAACAGGATATAGGATTTTTTTCAATTTGTATATGAGTCCATCGTGCCAAGTTAGATTGGTTAGATTAGTCTATCTTGCTTAAATTGATATGTGATATTCGGCTTCTTGTTCTTTTAGGAACTGAGTAAGTGCACTGTAGGATTCGGTATTCGATGTTTATATTTTTAAACGGTCAGTAAAAGATTTACAAAAAGAAATTATCTACGCCAATTAGTTCAATTAAAGCTTTATATACGCCTAAGTAGTTTTCCACGCCTCTTACGAAGATGCGAGGGGAGGTTTCGTCTGAGCTTTCAATATTTTGTTCCAAAGGCTGGAATGATGAAAAATTTTGGACAGGCTCAACTTCTTGATTTAGAATTTCAAATCGATTTGATGATTTAAACAGTTTGGTTTTTTTTTAATAATTTTTTGAGATTTAATTTGGACCTGATCACTTGACGATATAGTTTGAGATGAGGAAGTCAGAATTCTTTCAATTTTTTTAACAACAGCAGTAAAATTGTCGTTTGAATTATCGATTGGCATTGTTGATTTATTTATATCGGCTTGTTGATTTGAATTATTATAATTATTATTATTATTATTATTATTTCTCATAATTATCTATCAGCGGCGGCGGTGACGTGTGTTTATTTTATCAAGACCACCTAGCGGCAGTCGCAAGTAAGGTGAACTCGTATAAGCTATTGCGTAGTTACGTAATTACACAGTACTATGTGAATACGATGGACTTATTCGAAAATAAAACGAAAAATTCTAACCAGAGTTTTACCGTTTAAATAAGAAATTATGTTAAGTTTATCATAACCTACGCTAAAGTAAATTGTGAAAAACGAAAATGTACACTTATATTTAACTCATTATAACTGGACGTATGAGAGCAATTATAATTAATTACGTAATTACGATGGAAGCGTACGAAAACACGACTGTATCGGATGGCTTCCACCGCGGGACTGACAATATTACATGAAATATTATAAAGGTGAAGTTAGATATAAATTAAGATTTACTAATATATTTATGATACTTAATAATGTGACAATTTTCAGAGTTTTTTCTTCGCTAAGTACTTTTACTATGTTGGATGGCATATTCAGGTCGGTGCGTATT